TCTGACACTGTCAAGGGTCAGCAGTTACTTTCTGGAGACAGCTCTCTCATGACCTCTAATGCCGCCTGTCTTTCTCCAGTCTGCAATTCGATTCAGGGAAGCTATTTCATTTTGGTTGGCCTTACGATCGATGTATTTTTTAAAAATATATATCTTAATGTACTTTTATCTTTGACGTGCCAATAAGGGTTGTCTGTCTGTCTAATAATGCTGTTAACTGAGCCTTTTGCAGGGCGAGCGTTTCCCTGCATTTGTGTCCCACTTTACAAAAAGCGCAGTCCGTTCCATCCAATCTGTTGTCTTTGTCGTGTGTTTCTAAACAGAACCAAAGCCAGTCTACGCTCAGCCGGGACAGCCGGATGTGGACTTACCGGTTAGTCCGTCCGACGGCCCTCTACCGAACTCGACCCACGAAGACGGCATGCTTCGGTAATGGGATTGTTGCTTGTTGCCGCCGCAGCGCTTTTGTCCATAATTAAATGAGTCTGAGCGGAGTCCATAACTAGATGAGCCCGTGGTCATCTCTCCAGCCCAGAGAACATCACTGGTGGTCAGGCAGGAGCCGGACTCTTCGGCTTGTACCGCTTACAGAAGTGCCGGGCAGCCCGGGAGCCACCCACTTCTCCAGAAGTTTCCCCAAATGTTATTTATTCATTTGTAATTTATTTATTTATTTATTGGATTTTTTAAAAAAATTGACCACCCTTCCCTGCTTGCACAAGACTCAAGGGCGGTTCACAACAATTGAATTCAGTAGGAGTGTAAAATAAGTTAAGACCTCAATATTTAAAATATGTTCAGAGCATTTAAACGTTTCGAAACATTTTAAAAACGAGGTGGCGAGTGCTAGCATTCAGTCATGGGGGAGGAGGGTGCCAGTCAGATGTAAGGAAGAAGAAGAAGAAGAAGAGATTGGATTTATAACCCACCCTTCACTATCCAAGGGAACCTCAGAGCGGCTTACAAACTCCTTCCCCTTCCCCTCCCCACAACAGGCACCCTGTGAGGCAGGTGGGGCTGAGAGAGCTCTGAGAGAAACTGCTCTTTTTCAAGGACAGCTTTGACAGAACTATGGCCTGCCCAAGGTCATCCAGCATATGCAAGTGGAGGAGTGGGGAATCAAACCCGGTTCTCCCAGATTAGAGTCCACGCACTTAACCACGACACCAAACTGGCTCCCAACCAAAGGAATTGTCACTGGCCTCAACCAAAGGCCTGGCGGAACATCTCTGCCTTACATGCCCTGCAAAACTGTAATAGGTCAGACAGGGCCCGGATGTCACTCAGCAGAGAGTTCCTCCAGGCCGGGGCCAGGGCGGGTAAGGCCCTGTTCGAGGCCAGCCGGATATCTTTTGGGCCAGGGACCTCCAGAAGATTCTTGCCTGCTGATCTTAACGCCCTTTGGGGGACAGCGTGTGCGAGTTCTGCCACTGCCTAGATTTCCAGGAAGTGATGATGGCATCCAAGTGAGGGCAAAGGGCAAGTGAAGACAAACATCACCACCACCACCACCCAGTTTCAGAGGAGTGTACAGAAATCTGCCTTCTCCCACAGACCGTATTAGTCACCGGTTGTCTCAGTGTGCTGGCTTAAGGGGTCAGTTCTCATTAAATTAGGGAGGCGCGTATTCCCAACCTGGTCCCAGGTACTCTGGAGCAAGCAGTTTCCCGTGTAAGTAATTGTGACTTGCTTTAAAGGGGGAAAAGCGTGGCGTGTTTGAAATTGTTTTTGCACCGTGGTGATTATGCGGGCAGACTTCGTAACTATCCACCAAGATGCAAAGCAGCCATCCGAACGCGCAGCCCTCCTCCTTTCAATAGAGCTGTGAGCCAGGCCAGGGTGTTACAGCCAATGCTCCCGCTAAACTGTGGAGCCAGTTTGGTGTAGTGGTTAAGTGTGCGGACTCTAATCTGGGAGAACCGGGTTTGATTCCCCACTCCTCCACTTGCACCTGCTGATGTGACTTTGGGTCAGTCACAAGCTCTGGCACAGCTGTCCTTGAAAAAGGGCAGTTTGTGTCAGAGTTCTCTCAGCCCCACCCACCTCACAGGGTGTCTGTTGTGGGGAGGGGAAGGGAAAGGAGTTTGTAAGCCGCTCTGAGACTCCGAGTGAAGGGCGGGGTATAAATCCAATCTCTTCTTCTTCTTCTTCTTGTAAGCGAAAAATTTCCTTTGTGAGCTACCGGCATTAAAGTTGTGAGCGAGCAATGTGGCTAATGCATAAATTAGTTTGCCTTGGAGCCGTCCTTCCTGAGTGAATGCAAAAAATGTGTGAGCCAGAGGCTAAAAAACTGAGCTGGCTCACACCAACTCAGCTTAGAGGCAACACTGATTACAGCCAGGGTTCCCTCTAAGCTGAGTTAGTGTGAGCTAGCTCACAGTTTTTTAGCCTCCAGCTCACGCATTTTTGTCTCAGCTCAGGAAGGGTGGCTCCAGGGCAACCTAATTTATGCAGAAGCCAAATTGCTCGCTCACAACTATAATTCCAATAGCTCACAAAGTAGAATTTTTGCTCAGAAGACTCCACAGCTTAGAGGGAGCATTGTTTACAGCATCTCTGGGCCGTTCCGAATGCGAATCTTCAGACTTCATTCTTTGGCTCAACAGTTCACTGGGACATTTATTTATGCGCCGCGGAAGTGTTGTTGATGGGGAAAGGGAGCCTTCTTTTCTCAACTCGACGTGTTTGTGGCGGCTTCAAAAATACTTCCTGATCTTTCAGGCCCAGCATGAAGCTTGTGAAATTTAAAAAGGGGGACAGCGTCGGCTTGCGGTTGGCTGGCGGCAACGATGTCGGGATCTTCGTGGCCGGCGTTCTCGAGGACAGCCCTGCCGCTAAAGAGGGCTTGGAAGAAGGAGATCAGATTCTCAGGGTAGGCTCCAGTGTCTGAAAAACAGCCTCTGGGGGGAAAAAATTGGAAAATGATGGTATTTGGGCCTCTCTCTCTTTTTGGTGCAAACATATGTTCCTGCCGGGGAATTAAGAGCCCCTCCTGACGGTCCCGCCAATCAAAGAAGCTCGTCTGGGGGGAAGACGAAACAGGGCCTTTTCGGTGGAAGCCCCCCAGAATTATGGAACGGGGCAGCTTTCTTTGCTGTATAAAGGTATCGACATGCAGATAGCAGAGAATGCCTAGCTCCTTAGTTTAGGGCCTTGGAACTGTGCAGTGATTTTTTTAAAAAAACAAAAACTAACTGTGCTTGCTTTTGCACCAGGTAAATAACGTCGACTTCACAAACATCATCCGCGAGGAAGCCGTGCTCTTCTTGCTCGACCTCCCGAAAGGGGAAGAGGTGACGATCTTGGCACAGAAGAAGAAGGATGGTAAGGAACTTCCCAGTCCTCGGGGCGAGAGCTCACCTAGGGAATCCCAGGATCACAGAGAGTGATGAAAGTATGGAATTCACTGCCAGCGGGTGTTGTGATGGCCACAGGAATAAAGAGCTTTAAAGGGTGGTTAGATAGATTCGTGGAGGATGAGTCTGTCAAGGGCTGCTACCCATGGTGACCGAGGGGAACTCCACATTCAGAGGTGCTAATCCTCTAGATCTCAGAGCCAGGAGGCAACATCAGGGGAAGGCCTCGGCCGCTATGTGCTGTTGTTGGCCCTCCAGAGGAACTGCTTGGCCACTTTGTGAGACAGGATGCTGCACTAGATGGGCCGTTGGCCCGATCTAGCAGGGCTCTTCTGGTGTTCTTAGAAGGCCTTGGCCTCGTTGGCCCTCCAGAGGAACTGGTTGGTCACTGTGTGAGAGAGGATGTTGGACTAGATGGACCACTGGTCTGATCCAGCAGGGCTCTTCTGATGTTCTTATGAAGGCCTCAGCCTCTATGCCTTGTTGTTGGTCCTCCAGAGGAACTGGTTGGCCACGGTGTGAGACAGGATGTTGGACTAGATGGACCACTGGTCTGATCCAGCAGGGCTCTTCTGATGTTCTTATGAAGGCCTCAGCCTCTATGCCTTGTTGTTGGTCCTCCAGAGGAACTGGTTGGCCACGATGTGAGAGAGGAGGCTGGACTAGACGGGTCCCATAATTTTTGAACTTTAAAGTTTCCCGTTTGCAAATATTGATACAGAGAGACGCTGTTATTACTACATTGACATATAACTCCATAGGACAATATCCTGTTATCATTAATTAAATCACAGTAGTGATCTAAGCCAGAATGCGTCCATTGTTTACACTGAAATCAAGGCCAAGCTGTTTTGGGGGGGGCAACCTACTGCTGAAGCTACAAACAAGGTTTAGGGGAGTAATTTACAACATAGATAAAGGTAAAGGCTTCCCTTGCTCAAAAGCCAGTCGGATCCGACTCTGGGGATGCAGTGCTCATCTCCGTTTCCAAGCCGAAGAGCCAGCAATGTCCAGAGCAGTGTTCCCTCTAAGCTGAGTTAGTGTGAGCTAGCTCACAGTTTTTTAGCCCCTGGCTCACACATTTTTGTCTTAGCTCAGGAATGATGACTCCACAGCAAACTAATTTATGCAGTAGCCAAATTGCTCCCTCACAAGTTTAATGTCAATAGCTCACAAAGTAGAATTTTTGCTCACAAAACTCCACAGCTTAGAGGGAACATTGGTCCAGAGACGTTTCCGTGATCATGTGGCCAGCATGACTAGACGTCGAGGCGCACGGAACGCTGTGACCTTCCCACCAAAGTGGTACCTATTTATCTACTTGCAATTTCTTGCTTTCGAACGGCTAGGTTGGCAAGAGCTGGGACCAGAGACGGGAGCTCACTCCATCATGCAGCACTCGGGTTTCGAACTGCTGAACTACCGGCCTGCAGTTCAGCGTCTTAACCACTTGAGCCACCGCAGCTATTTACATAGCTTATGCCAAATTAATATCATAGCATCTATAACTATCGATCTTTGAGTATAATATTTCTGTCTTTCACTTTTCTTTAAACAGCACCCAATACCTTAAGGGAATGCTTCCCGCAAATCTATTCGTAGATTTGGCTGACCATAAAACCGTTCCACTAACCAAAGTAACTTTTGCAGCACAAGAGTAATAAAGCAGATTAGGAATCACTTGTCCTCATTGCTTCCATTTTTCTTCAGCTTGACTCCAGTTATCTCTTGGTGGTTTTTTTTTTTTAATCTTGAAGGAGGAAGAAGTTCTCCGAGAGGCTGGAAAGTAAAGTTTTAGGCACCCCTTGGTTCTTGGCACACAAGTCTTAGAGAGCCAGTTTGCTGTAGTGGTTAAGAGTGCGGATTCTAATCTGGGAGAATCGGGTTTGATTCCCCACTCCTCCACGTGCAGCTGCTGTGACCTTGGGTCAGTCATAAATTCTTTCAGAGCTGTTCTCTCAAGAGCAGTCCTCGAAAGGACTCTCTCAGCCCCACCAGCCTCACAGGGTGTCTGTTGTGGGGAGGGGAAGGGAAAAGAGACTGTAAACCACTTTGAGGCTGAGTTCAGACTGGCAGTTTGAAGCGCAAGAGAGTCGTGGCAAAAAAGACAAGTTGTTCCGGGTATTCCTGGTCACACTACATTGACTGATGCAGGAGCATACCAGGGAGGAGGTGCAAGGGAGTGTTCGCACTGCTGGCCTGCTCCTGGCGGAGGCGTGTCTGTAAGGCGCGGCTTTCTTTTTGGTAATCTGGCAATATGCACTTATGCGCATCAGCAATTGTGGCTTTTGGCGTTCACACTTCTGGGAAGTGGGCTAAACACGCTCTCCAGTGTTTGCTACCACTTTCGAGACTACTGCAATGTGCTCTATGTGGAGCTACCCTTGAGAAATGTTCAGAAACTTCAGTTGCTAAAGAATGCTGCCATCAGGAGGGCCCTGGCTGGAGTCAGGGACTATATCACTCCAGTCCTGACCCATCTACACTGGCTCTCAATTTGTTTCCAGGCACAATTCAAGCTGCTGGTGCTGACGTTAAAAGCCCTACATTAGCTAGCTGAACTCAGATTCTGACATTTATACAAGATGGTTGCTAACCCAACTGTATTATCAGAAAACCCGGTAAGAGTTTTAAATAGTTAAGTTTTAGATAGATATACCGAATAGAATATCAAGAATATTACTAATGTTAAATAGTTTGTATTGTTTGGGTTTCTCTGTATCAATTGTTTTATATTTATTTAATAAAAGTTATTTTTTAAAAAAAATTTAAAAGAAACCGTACGTTATGTCTCCTGTCTTGCAGTTTATCGGCGCATTGTGGAGTCAGACGTGGGCGACTCTTTCTATATTAGAACTCATTTTGAATACGAGAAAGAGTCTCCCTATGGGCTGAGCTTCAACAAAGGAGAGGTGTTCCGGGTGGTGGACACGTTGTACAACGGCAAGCTGGGGTCCTGGCTGGCGATCCGGATAGGCAAGAATCACAAAGAGGTGGAGAGAGGCATCATACCCAACAAAAACAGGTATCGTTTTGGAAGAATGAGACGTATTGCCAAGTCTTATAAACTTGCGTCGTGCTGCGTACCTTGGATAACATCTCTGAAACGCAGAATAGTTAAAAGGAATTCACTGTAGAATCTGTTTGCAAATCAGTCTGTTTCTTGGAATGCTTTGGAATGGCATGATTATGCTCTTGATTGTAACTTGTGCCTCTCAGGCCCATAGCTACGGTGGGGCTTTTGGGGGATCCGCCCCCTTTCTTAAAGGTCCCACAAGAATTTATCCTGTAAATGCTTTTTTTCCCAATCATTTAAAAACATTTTTAAAGGTGTGCACTCCTTCAAGCAGAGTGGGGTGCTGTAGTTGACTGATTCCGACACTGAGCAAGGGGGTTGGAGTAGGTGACCTCTAGGGACCCTTCTAACTCTGTGTCACGAAACTGGTCTCCTTTCAGAGATTTTTATAGCTAAGGGTTAGCTCTCTTGACTATAGAAGTCATCCCCCCCACCTGTCGGCTTGTTCTCAGAACGGTTGCTGAGGCTGGCAGAAGTGATTAACCTGCAGCAGCTGAGAACTCATCTAAAGTGGTTGACGGCTTGCAATGTAGAGATCTGTCCTGGTCACCACTTTCTGTTGGCTCAATGGCTTTTCTTTCTGTACTGAGAACTTCAGCGTCACCAGGGAAAATTTTGCCCCAGAAGCCACAAAATCATGGCTACGAGCTTGGTGCATCTTAGGGAGACAGGTGAAAAATTAATACTGGGAATGCCCGCACAACACATGCAGCTCCTTAGTTAGGAAGACACAAACAAGATGAGTGGCAGAACTGTTCCTTGGCTAAAATAAGGGCACATGACCCTTCCATTTCCCATCCTTCTGTATCTAGCTGGCTTCTAGTTAAAGAGTTCTGCGGGAAGCTACCTTCAGGTTGTCAGGTCTCCATGGCTACCAGCAGCCAGTGATCTCTTGGGATTTCAGGGCGGGGCAGAGGCGCGGCCACATGAAAGCTTTCCCAGTTGTGCAGTGCCAGCTCACAGCTGTGTGCGCGTAAAGTGGTGTCAGGTTGCAGCCGACTTAACGACAACACCGTAGGGCTTTCAAGGCACGAGATGTTCAGAGGCAGGTTTGCCATTGCCTGCCTCTGCGTAGCGACCCTGGACTTCCTTGGCCGCCGCCCCTTCAAATACTATCTCAGGCTGACCGTGCTTTGCTTCCAAGATCTCACAAGATTAGGTTGGCCCAGGCCATCCAGGTCCAGGCAAGAGATGAACAGAGGTGGTTTCCCTTTGCCTGCCTCTGCATAGCTACCCTGGACTTCCTTGACCATCTCCCATCCAAATACCAACCAGGGCCGACCCTGCTTTGCTTCCAAGCTCCAACAAGATCAGGCTAGCCTGAACCATCCAGGTCCAGGCAAGAGAGAAACAGAGGCGGTTTCCCTTTGCCTGCCTCTGCATAGCAACCCTGGGCCTGGACTTTTTGGCAACCCTGCCAGAGCTGACCCTGTGTAGCTTCCAAAATCTGACAAGACTGTGCTAGCCCAGGCCATCCAGGTCAAGGCAAGAGATAAACAGAGGCGGTTTGCCTTTGCCTGCCTCTGCGTAGCAACCCTGGACTTCCTTGGTGGTCTCCTATCCAAGTACCAACCAGGGCTGACCTTGCTTAGCTTACAAGAGCTGATGAGATCGGGCTAGCCTGGGCCGTCCAGGTCAGGACAGATGAATAGGGGTGGTTTGCCATTGCCTGCCTCTGCGTAGCAACCCTGGACTTCCTTGATGGTCTCCCAGGGCTGACCCTGCTTAGCCTCTGAGATCTGATGAGATCGCACTAGCCTGGGCCGTCCAGGTCAAGGCAAGAGATGAACAGAGGCGGTTTGCCCTTGCCTGCCTCTGCATAGCAACCCTGGACTTCTTTGGTATTCTCCCATCCAAGTACTAACCAGAGCTGACCCAGCGTAGCTTCCAAGATCTGACGAGATCGGGCTAGCCCGGGCCATCCAGGCCACGGTCCTTACAGCTATAGTCCGCCTTAAAAGTCGGGATCTGTTTTCCCGTACGGTCAGTGCCCAACGGGAATGAAACTACTTTAATGGGCGGGCAGCGGCGAGCCACCTCTGTTGTCTCTTAACCTTGAAAAACCTGCAGCTTCGCCCTAACTCTGCTGCAGCCTGATGTCACTTTCCAGCCCCGCCAGTCCCAGCAGAGGGAGACACACAAATTCTCCCCTTTCCGGTGTCCGTTGCCATTTTTGTCCTCCTTCCGCAGAGCCGAGCAGCTGGCGAGCGTGCAGTACACGCTTCCGAAGACGGCTGGCGGGGACCGGGCCGATTTCTGGAGGTTCAGGGGCCTGCGCAGCTCCAAGAGAAACCTCCGGAAAAGCAGAGAGGATCTGTCTGCCCAACCGGTGCAGACCAAGTTTCCTGCCTACGAGAGAGTCGTCCTCCGAGAAGGTAAGTGCTCTGGCTTCAAAGAAGATCGAAGGCACGGAGGGACGACTCACTCCTCGGAGACTCACCGGCACGTTCCTTTCAATTCCAGCTGGATTTCTCAGGCCGGTGACCATCTTCGGGCCAATCGCCGACGTGGCACGAGAGAAGCTGGCGAGAGAAGAACCGAATATTTATCAGATTGCAAGTAAGTTTTCCCTTTGCTCTTTCCGCGGAATGCCCCACCCCAATCTCAAAGGTGTGGCCACGGCCTCAGAGCTTTTAGTGGAATTGTTGAGGGATAGTCAAGGTGTCCGTGTAAACTAGAGCTAGAATCAAGTCCAGTACCACCTTAGAGACCCATAAGATTTTTTAGGTATGAGCTTTGTGAATCAAAGTTCCCTGCATTAGCTTCAAGAGGGGACTGGATAAACATACAGAGCAGAGGTCCATCAGTGGCTATTAGCCACAATAGATGGAACATTCTGTCTGGAGCAGTGAGGCTCTGCATTTTTGGTGCTTGGGAGGCAACAGTGGGAGGGCTTCTGGAGTTCTGGCCCTGCTGGTGGACCTCCTGATGGCCCCTGGGTTTTGGCCACTGTGTGACACAGAGTGTTGGACTGGATGGACCACTGGCCTGATACAACATGGCTTCTCTTATGTTCTTACGTCTGGGGAAGTGATGTTCTGTATTCTTGGTGCTTGCGGGGGCGGGAGGGCGGACAGTGGAAGGGCTTCTGGAGTTCTGGCCCTGCTGGTGGACCTCCTTATGGCCCCTGGGTTTTGGCCACTGTGTGACACAGAGTGTTGGACCGGATGGGCCATCGGCCTGCTCCAACATGGCTTCTCTTATGTTCTTATGTCTGGGGCAGTGATGCTCTGTATTTTCTTGGTGATTTGGGGGGGGGGGACAATGGGAGGGCTTCTGGAGTTCTGGCCCTGCCGGTGGACTTCCTGATGGCCCCTGGGTTTTGGCCACTGTGTGGCACAGAGTGTTGGACTGGATGGGCCATCAGCCTGATTCAGCATGGCTTCTCTTATGTCATTATGTCTGGGGCAGTGATGCTCTGTCTTCTTGGTGCTTGGGGGGGGGCACAGTAGGATGGCTTCTGGAGTTCTGGCCCCGCTGGTGGACCTCCTGAGGGCACCCGGGTTTTGGCCACTGTGTGACACAGAGCGTTGGACCGGATAGGCCATTGGCCTGATCCAACATGGCTTCTCTTACGTTCTTATGTAAATTGTAAGTGCTTTCAAGGAAATCGCCGGCGAGATATGCAAATGGATAACAGAGCGCGTGAAGCTGCATCGTGCCCTGCAACCTGAGTTCCATCTTGTCCAGTGCAATCTGTTTTGAAGCTGGCTACCACAGAGGTTTCTCCCGTCCCTCTTTTTACCCAATAGCCTTTAACTGGAGGTGCCTGGGAAAGAACGGGTCTGCTCCTGCACGCGTAGCAGATTCTCGCGGCCCAGTTCTTAACCAGCTGCGCGAGAATAAACTATGTGTCGTTGAAAAACTGAAGTTTCCCCCAACCGTGGTTTAATTTCTGTTTCTAAAATCACCAAAGTAGCACCTTCCTGTGCAAAGTCCATGCTAATCTTCTCTGTATCGTTCCAATTGTAGTGTATGTGCTTGACCCCCTTAATCCTTTCAGATAGTTTTTGCTCAAGCTGGGTTTCCACAATAGAATACAAAACGGGCACTTCTAGGCTTCTCTAGTACTGCCCTTCTACACCTTGGATTTCAAGGAGCCAAAGCTATTGTCAAACAAAGATGATGGGACACGTCTCTCCAGAAGCACAGAGCACGAGCCTCACACTTTTTAGTGGTGAGAAATAAAAAACTAAATTTTGCTTTATCCAGTTACCTTTATTCGTTAGGACTCCCTAAGCACCGCAGAGCTTTTACTCCAGCACGATTAAAAGTTCTCCCGTCTGCCCTCCTGCAAGGGAGATACATACACTCATGGCCCATACGCAGGCCGACGCTGTCCTTGTAATTCTGGACAGGTCGAGACAATTGAGCACGCTCTTTCATCTTGCCGATTTTACCACGAGATTCGTTCTAAATATATTACTCCAATAATCGTCGCCTACCCAGGCAGGTCTAACCAGTTTTATTCTACTCTTCTTTTAGCTGGCATTTGTAATGAAACCGCTGCTAAGGTGGCAAGGTTTCGTGCTCTGGCCATCCTAATCAGACAGAAGGCTATTTACTTCTTAGGAAATTTTAAAATTCACTTTGTCTTATTAAAAAAAAAAAAAATTATCTGTATCAACTGTCTGGTTGTGTTCTTGCTGTTAACGATATGCAACGTTTTAAGGTATTTCCTGATCTTTGATCGTAACAAATCGAATTGAATTGACATTGTGAGCAAGAAAGGTGAAAGTGTTGTGCGTAATGACTGACCGGTGGGTGATAACTGACGGCTTTCTCTTCCACAGAAAGCGAACCGAGGGACGCCGGGACGGACCAACGTAGTTCTGGCATTATCCGTCTCCATACGATAAAACAGATAATTGACCGAGTAAGTGATTAAGCGCTCAAACTGTTTTCACACACTCCGTAGTAACAAGTGGTCGGGGAAACACTGGTGTGCGCTGTTTTTCCAAGGAGGCATTGAAAAGGCTGCGGTTGGGTGGGCCTGACTTTCCCATGGCCGCCAACCTGCCGCTTTTGACTGCTTCATCTTAACCCTCTCTTGCCCCTTTTTCGGCCCTTTCTAATTTTGCAGCAAGCTTTCTACATTTGACATCCTTTGCTTGCATCCGAGTTCCTCTCTTTTCTGCAAGACCCTTCCATCGCTTTGGAAATTACACTCCAGGGGGGATTTAATTTCAGGGAGAAGGATATGTTTTGGGTAGGAGGGAGGGATTGACCCACGCGTAAGTTATCCGTAATTTCCCCCCCTCTCCCAAAAGACTAGAACTCGAGGGCATGCGATAAAGCTGATGGGCAGTGGGTTCAGGACAGACAGAAGGAAATACTGCTTTACACAGAGAGTGATTAAATTCACTGCCAGAGGATGTAGTAATGGTTACAGGAGTAAACAGCGTTCAAAGAGGATTAGATAGATTCATGGAAGATGATAAGGCTATCAATGGGTACTAGCCATGCTGGCTAAAGGGAACCTCTGAATCGCAGTGCCAGGAGGCACCATCAGGGAAAGGCCTCAGACTCTGTGCCCTGTTGTTGGCCCTCCAAAAGAACTGATTGGCCACTGTGTGAGACAAGTTGCTGGATGAGATGGACCATTGCCCTGATCCAGCAGGGCTCTTCTGATGTTCTTATGAAGGCCTTGGCCTCTGTGCCCTGTTGTCGACCCTCCAGAGGAACTGGTTGGCCTCTGTGTGAGACAGGATGCTAGACTAGATGGACCCTCACTGATCCAGCAGGGCTCTTCTTAGGTCCTGATCAGGGGAAGGCCTTGGCCTTTATGCCCTGTTGTTGGTCCTCCAGGGGAACTGGTTGGCCACTGTGTGAGACAGGAGGCTGGAGTAGATGGACTGTTGGTCTGATCCAGCAGGGCTCTTCTTAGGTTCTTATGTAGGCCTCGGCCTCTATGCCCTGTTATTGGCCGTCCAGAGGACCTGGTTGGCCACTGTGTGAGACAGGATGCTGGACTAGAGGGACCACTGGTCTGATCCAGCAGGGCTCTTCTGATGTTCTTACGTACTTAAATAGCGGCTCTGGGAGTTTGGAAGTTCCCAAGTGAAATAACGCCATACAGGAGACTCTGCAAGGTGTCGGGTATGCACTTTTGCTCATCACTTTGCCACTTGCATTTTCAGATGTGTGTCTTAGGGCCAAACCACGTAGGATGGGTGGGGGTCTGTGATGCAAACCCCAGATGTGTCACTGTCTTCTAAAAAGCTGTCACCGGCACCCACTGGAAATGTGGTCCTACCACCAATGTTCCCTCTAAGATGTTGAGTCTTGTGAGCAAAAATTCTACTTTGTGAGCTACTGGCATTAAAGTTGTGAGCCAGCGATTTGGCTACTGCACAAATTAGTTTGCTCTGGAGCCCTCCTTCCTGAGCTAAGACAAAAATGTGTGAGCTGGAGGCTAAAAAACTGTGAGCTAGCTCACACTAACTCAGCTTAGAGGGAACACTGCCTACCACCGCGGTTTACACCTCAGTAGGGAATAAATAACAGTAGCGCTGTTTCTCTTCGCGGGCTCAAAACAGCCTCGGGGTGTACGTAGCTTGCTTCTTAACTTGCCTTCTTGTGACTGCAAATGTCTGCTGCTCTCCACCCTCCTGGTAATTAACCCTTTTGCCTGCCTCTGATTTTTGCCCTTGTAATGGAGCTCTCACGGCTGAAGTGGGGCGTCACCTGACGCTGCCACCACTCTGCATTCAGGATCCCTTGAGAAGGCCCAGAGCACCCTCCCAAGACCTTCAGACCTCCCTTTTGGCCGAATAATAGGCGTGAGGACCAGGCAGAGTAAACAACAAATAAAAGTTTTATTCCCACAGGAGGGCAACCCAATATGGGAAAAACAAGATGCAAGAAAAATAGCAATAAGGGGGTGAAGAGAAAAGAAACCAAATGGCCTAAAGAAACCAAATGGCCTAACGTGACTAGACTCACAGTCTCCTAGCTCACTGTCTCAAGTGGGCCTCAGACTGCTCACCCTTCCTCTCAGGGTGAAGGTCTCTCCCAGCAGCAGCCCTCCTTCTGGCCCTGCTCTCTTCAAAGAAGAACAGCTCTTCTTCTGTGCCAGCTCTTTTATTAGAAGTGCCAAAACCTCTCAGGGGCTTCTGGGAGTTGTAGGCCTGGCCTCCTCCCACTGCTACTCAGGCTCCCTGGGCCTGCCTCTAGCTGCACAGCCCAGATCATGACAGGAGCGGTTAAAGGGAGCCAGCTTTTAGACCTGACGCGAGGCACGCCTGAAGAGAAACTTTGCCTCTTCAGATTACCTTTAGAACACAGTTCCTCTGGGACGGCCTGCTGCCGGAGCGCGTCATTTCCTCCCGCTGCTGTTTCCGCAGGACAAACACGCCTTGCTCGACGTCACTCCAAACGCGGTGGACCGTTTGAATTACGCACAGTGGTATCCCATCGTGGTGTTCTTGAACCCGGATTCCAAGCAGGGCGTCAAGACCATGCGGATGAGGCTCTGTCCCGAATCCCGGAAAAGTGCCAGGAAACTCTACGAGAGGGCCCACAAGCTACGGAAAAACAACCATCACCTCTTCACAGGTGAGTGCCCGGAAGGGACCGTTGAACGGCGCTTAAAAGCACCGATGTGTCAGGACCTCGGAGTAAGACGCCCAGGGCACTTTTTGTAGCAGGAACTCCTTTGCATATTAGGCCACACCCCCTAATGTAGTCAATCCTCCAAGAGCTTACAGAGCTCTTCTTACAGGATCTACTATAAGCTCTTGGAGAATTGGCTACATTAGGGGTGTGTCACTTAATATGCAAATGAGTACCTGCTACAAAAAGAGCCCTGATAGACGCCGTTTTGATAACAGTTGTGTTATTAGACTAAACTTGTGATATTGTTGTGTTGTGTTTCTCTTGATGGAAAGCCAAACTAGTTTCTGATAGGATGTTAGTAGTGTCAGACTTCTGAACGTCGTAGAATTTGCAATGCCGTGTTTACTTCAACAGTAGCTCTGCCTTCAGCAAAATTGCTGCAGTGATCCATCAGAGGTCCATCAATGGCTATTAGCCACAAGGTATAAGTAGGAACCAGTGTTCCCTCTAAGCTGAGTTAGTGTGAGCTAGCGCACAGTTTTTTTAGCCTCCAGCTCACACATTTCTTGTCCACACTCAGGAAGGATGGCTCCAGAGCAAACTAATTTATGCAGTAGCCAAATCGCTCGCTCACAACTTTAATGCCAGGAGCTCACAAAGTAGAATTTTTGTTCACAAGACACCATCGCTTAGAGCAGTGATGGCGAACCTTTTAGAGACCGAGTGCTCAAACTACGACCCAAAACCCACTTATTTATCGCAAAGTGCCAACACGGAAATTTAACCTGAATACTGAGGTTTTACTTTAGAAAAAACGACTCATACATTAACTTAAGATGATCCAAACAAAGTAAGGAAAGCAATCCCAAATGCTTTCATTTACTTAAAATTATTTGGCAGAGACTTCGACACTTTAATGATGGTCTGGGCCTGGCTGGGGTGATGGCACGCGTGCCCACAGAGAGGGCTCTAAGTGCTACCTCTGGCACATTGGTAGAAACTCTCAATCTGGGGCAAGGGATGCTCTGTATTCTTGGTGCTTTGGGGGGGGGGCAACAGTGGGAGGGCTTCTGGTGTCCCGGCCCCACTGGTGGACCTCCTGATGGCCCCTGGTATTTTTGGCCACTGTGTGACAGTGTTGGACTGGATGGGCCATTGGCCTGATCCAACATTGGCTTCTCTTATGTTCTTAATATGGAGCAGAGAGCCATCAGTGGCTGTTAGCCAGAAGGTATAGATAGGAACTCTCGGTCTGGGGCAAGGGATGCTCTGTAGTCTTGGTGCTTGGAGTTGGGGGGGGGCAACAGTGGGAGGGCTTCTAGTGTCCTGGCCCCACTGCTGGACCTCCTGAGGGCACCTGGTATTTTTGGCCACTGTGTGACACAGAGTGTTGGACTTGATGGGCCATTGGCCTGATCCGACATGGGCTTTTCTTCTGTTCTTATCTTTTTTATTTTTTGTTTTTAGCCACTATTAACTTGAATTCGATGAACGACGGCTGGTATGGCGCTCTCAAGGAAGCAATTCAGCAACAACAGAATCAGTTAGTTTGGGTTTCGGAAGGAAAGGTATGGGATCTCAGTCTCCACTCTTACTGTTCAGAAGCATTTAGTCCGCTTTTCCCCTCGAAGGAGTTCCTGTGAAGTGCACAGACCATAGAATTGGTTGTAAAATCAAACTCTTCTCCATCAGAATCTTCGCTTGCCTGTTAAATGAGTGGTCATCAGTGGGGACTGATTCAGTCGAGACCTGCAGGCAGTTCACAGAGCCTCCACCTGCTGCATCAAAAAGCCTGAATAATCACCCTGTCTGTCTGTCTGTCTGTCTGTCTATCTATCATCTGTCATCATCCATCCATTTATCCGTCCATCTATCCATCCATCTGTCTGTCTGTTTGTCATCATCATCATCTATCATCTATCTATCTATCATCATCATCTATCCATCCATTTGTCTGTCTGTTTGTCATCATCATCATCTATCTATCTATCATCTATCTATCTATCATCATCTATCCATCCATCTATCCATCCGTCTGTCTGTCTGTCTGTTTGTTATCATCATCTATCATCGTCCATCTATCCATCCATCCATCTATCTGTCTGTCTGTTTGTCATCATCATCATCTATCTATCTATCTATCATCATCATCTATCCATCCATCTGTCTGTCTGTCTGTCTGTTTGTCATCATCATCATCTATCTATCATCTATCTATCTGTCATCATCATCTATCCATCCATCCATCTATCCATCTGTCTGTCTGTCTGTTTGTCATCATCATCTATCTATCATCATCATCCGTCTGTCTGTCTGTCTGTCTGTCTGTCTGTTTGTCATCATCATCATCTATCATCTATCTATCATCGTCATCTATCCATCCATCCGTCTGTCTGTCTGTTTGTCATCATCATCATCTATCATCTATCTATCTGTCATCATCATCTATCCATCCATCTATCCATCCGTCTGTCTGTTTGTTATCATCTATCTATCATCATCCATCCGTCTGTCTGTCTGTCTGTCTGTCATCATCATCATCTATCTATCTATCTATCTATCTATCTATCTATCTATCTATCTATCTATCTATCTATTGGATTTCTACCCCACCCTTCCCCCCGAGGCAGGCTCAGGGCAGCTTACATAAAATTTTTAAAAACAGATTAAAAACATATAACAAATTCTAAAGTGCGATACATCGATGTTGCATATCGGGTGGCAAACAACAGCTTTTGAGCTGCCTTTTCAATTTGCTGCTACCGAGACTACACAAGTAGATCTATCTATCTATCTATCTATCTATCTATCTATCTATTGAATTTCTACCCCACCCTTCCCCTCGAGGCAGGCTCAGGGCAGCTTACATAAAATTTTTAAACACAGATTAAAAACATATAACAAATTCTAAAGTGCGATACATTGATGTTGCATATCGGGTGGCGAACAACAGCTTTTGAGCTGCCTTTTTTATTTGCTGCTACTGCGACCACACAAGTAGGGAGCTATTGCGCACGTGTGAGGAGAGAGCCTTCTAGAGAGCGAGGATTTTGTGCCGTTTCGCATACACAAGGAGAGAGTTATTACACACGTGTGAAGTGTCTCCTAGAGAGCGAGGATTCTGTGCCATTTCGCATACACATATAGGAAGCTATTGCGCATGTGTGAGGAGGAGCCTCGTAGAGAGAGAGGATTTTGGAGCCATTGCACGTATGCAAGTAGAGAGCCTTCTAGAGAGCCAAGATTTTGTGCCACGGCGCATATGTAAGTAGAGCATCCTAGAGAGTGAGGACTTGATGCATTGGGCATACGCAAATAGAGAACTATTGTGCTGAGTAGAAAGTGAGGATTTTGTAGTATTTTGTGTTCACATTCAGTGGAACAGCAGGATGAGGTCACTCGGTGGAAACTAGCTTTGATCTTTGCTTGTTGCACGTATCCAAGTAGAGAGCCTTCTAGAGAGCCAAGATTTTGTGCCACTGCGCATGTGTAAGTAGAGCATCCTAGAGAGTGAGGACTTGATGCATTGCGCATACGCAAATAAAGAACTATTGTGCTGAGTAGAAAGTGAGAATTTTGTGGTATTTTGTGTTCACATTCAGTGGAACAGGAGGATGAGGTCACTCGGTGGAGAGGATTCCTCAATAGCTTTGATCTTTGCCTTTTTTGGCCTTAACAGCAGTGAGGTCATCTCTGACTGCTTCTCTTCCCGTCATGTGATTTCTTGTCACATGCTCGCAGGCCCGGAAAGGTTGACGATCACTGTATTAAACCAGTCACAAAGCCTCCAGTCTAACGCAACCACCCAAGGGTGCTCTGAAATAGTGCCACTTTAAACTCCCTCCCGGAGGAGAGTTTAGACTGTGCAGACCTTACCTCACCTGGAATAGCCTTAGTATATACAGGGGCAGATGCGACCTCTGTAGAAGGGGCAGAGAACACTGATGGAAAGCCCAGAGTTGGTGCATAGACTCAGGGGGGGGGACGTGCAGATCTGTCCTCGCAGAGGAGGGAGAGCTGGTACCTGAATAAAACTTGGTCTTAAAGGTGCCACTGGACTGTTTTGGACCGGGGGGGACTCTGCTTCTTGCTCTGACTGAGTGCTACTGGGAGCAGGGGGCGGGGCTTTTTCCATGTGCCTGCCCCTTGGGCTCTTTACTGCCAGAGCTCTGCTCCTGTGCGCTCCCGCAGGGAATGACCCCTGAGAAGCAGCTCTCCCTTTCTGATCAGACCCTGTAAAGGTCACTGTCGGAAGAGATTACGAAACCTTAAAAATGAGCGATTTGCTGGAATATAATTCCAAACCACTTTCTGATGTGGCATATGTGTGCGTGGATGGGTGTGTTCTGCCGTTAAGTCACTGCTGACCTATGGCGACCCTGTGGGGCTTTCGAGGCAAGAGGCGCCCAGAAGTGGTTTGCTGTTGCCTGCCTCCATGTTACAGCCCTGGTACTCCTGGGTGGCCTCCCTCGCAAATGCTGAGCAGGGCCAACCTTGCTTCGTTTCCGAGAGATGCGATGAGCTCAGAATAGTTAGGGCTATCCAGGTCAGAGTTCTGTGTCTCTAAAGACAGTCTGATTGGATTACGTCTTCCCACAGCGGTGTGGGAATATGGAGAGAGGTGCTCTCCGCCAAGAGCAGAGGTTGCAGCAGTCTGTCCCTGCGCAAGAGATCCGTCGCACACTACAAAGGTCCTCTTTGCCCCCGGCACGGGCCAGCAGCCGCTGTGCCCCGAAACCCTTCCGCTGCCTGCATCTCTGCCCTCCCAGTAACAACCGGCAATTTTGCTGGCTTGTAAGCGATTATGTAAGGGTTGTTGTGGGTGGCTTTATCTCGAACTGACATTTTCAGGACAGCAATTCGTTGGGATTCAGAAATCTGTCCTGAGAAGCCATAGTGAATTCGCAGTCCAATTTGGGGCAGTTTGTCCTTCGTATCTCTCTGCGGGGACCTGGTTTATGTCTAATTTCACCTGCCGTTTCATTGTCTGCTTCACAGCACAGAAGTCCTTTTGGGGGTCTTTGACAAAAGAGCCGTACAGAAATAACGTTCAGTACAATAGGTAATCGAATATCTCATGCATAGGACACGTTTAAAAGTAAGGCAAATAGCATAGTTATGGGTCATATCGCATAAAACCTTAAACACAAATTGCAGTGGGCAACCATATTTACTTTTCAAAAGTAATCAGGGAACATGGGCACAGATCAGCAATTCCTCGGTATTCCTGAGTCCTCCATTTCCACTAAATGCCAAATCTTTATCAGGTATTCCTTACTGATCTGGTACCAAACTGGATTTGTAATGACTGTCCAGATTGTACAGTTTGTCACTGTTTATAGCCATGTTCATCTTACAGGATAATTAGTGCAAGGTAAGTAAGATTGACTAGTTGGTACATAAAGTCTGCGAACTGCATTTCAGAAAGTCCCGGATCTGTGAATATTCTTTACTCTGTTTGGAGATTTAATCTTAGCTTGAAGGAATGACGGCTGAGGGGTGACGTGATCGAGGTTTATAAGATTGTGCATGGGATAGAGCAGGTCGAGAAAGAAGTACTTTTCTCCCTTTCTCACAATACAAGAACTCCTTTTGGGCACTCCATGAAATTGCTGAGCAGTCAGGTTAGAACAGATAAAAGGCAGTCCTTCTTCACCCAAAGAGTGATTAGCACATGGAATTAACTGCCACAGGAGGCGGTGGCAGCTACAGACATGGACAGCTTCAAGAGAGAATTAGATAAACATATGGAACAGAGGTCCATCCGTGGCTATGAGCCACAAGGGATAGACAGGAACTCTCGGTCTGGGGCAAGTGATGCTCTGTATTCTTGGTGCTTGGAGGTGGGGGGGCAACTGTGGGAGGGCTTCTAGTGTCCTGGCCCCACTCCTGGACCTCCTGAGGGCACCTGGTGTTTCTGGCCACTGTGTGACACAGAGTTTGGGACTGGATGGGCCATTGGCCTGATCCAACATTGGCTTCTCTTATGTTCTTATATGGAGCAGAGGTCCATCGGTGGCTATTAGCCACAAGGTATAGACAGGAACTCTCGGTCTGGGGCAAGTGATGCTCTGTATTCTTGGTGCTTGGAGGTGGGGGGGCAACTGTGGGAGGGCTTCTAGTGTCCTGGCCCCACTCCTGGACCTCCTGAGGGCACCTGGTGTTTCTGGCCACTGTGTGACACAGAGTTTGGGACTGGATGGGCCATTGGCCTGATCCAACATTGGCTTCTCTTATGTTCTTATATGGAGCAGAGGTCCATCGGTGGCTATTAGCCACAAGGTATAGATAGGAACTCTCGGTCTGGGGCAAGTGATGCTCTGTATTCTTGGTGCTTGGGGGGGTGGCGGCAACAGTGGGAGGGGCTCCTAGTGTCCTGGCCCCACTGGTGGACCTCCTGAGGGCACCTGGTATTTCTGGCCACTGTGTGACACAGAGTGTTGGACTGGATGGGCCATTGGCCTGATCCAACATGGGCTTCCCTTATGTCCTTACGTTAATCTCTCTTCTGTTGTCAGTGATCTCAGTTCTGTTATGAATATTATTCTGTTGTTAGATATTTCAAAATATTGCTTTGAAGTCTGGGGTGGAAGAGCCACCCATTTGCACGCTGCGGCAATAAAATCCGATATGTTTGACACAGGCAGATGGCGCTACAAGCGATGACCTCGACCTCCACGACGACCGCCTGTCCTACCTGTCGGCTCCGGGCAGCGAGTACTCCATGTACAGCACGGACAGTCGGCATACTTCTGACTACGAGGACACCGACACGGAAGGCGGGGCCTACACCGACCAGGAGCTAGACGAGACGCTCAACGACGAGGTGGGGACACCTCCCGAATCGGCCATCACGCGGTCCTCCGAACCCGTAAGAGAAGATGCGTCGGGCATGCACCACGAGAACCCAACGTTCCCTCCTTATGCGCCACCCGCTCAGCCGCAACCAAATCACAGGATAGAGTCGCCTGGGTTTAAGGCAAGCACTGCTCAGCCGGTAAGGAGGAAAGTTTTTGTCTCTGCGGGTTTTACGGGGCGACCTTTGGGAACAGTGTCCCGTAACGTTTCTGCTAGGCCGAGCAGCGCGAAGGACGTCTTACTAGGCCCGATCCTCGTTCTCCTGCTCCGTTTTTTGTGCCCAGTAGTACTTCACAGAGCAGCAAGATTTTCTGGGTATAAGCCTTCAGAGAGTCAAAGCTCTTTTGGTCAGATGCCAAGCTTTACTCTCCAAAGCTGGCACCCCGAAAAACCTGTTCGGTGTTTCTGAGGTGCTACTATACTCAAAGCTAGCTTTTCTACTGCAAACCAACATGGCTTCCTCCTAAAACTAACTTCATGGGAGGTTTTTGTCAGGCGGGGGGACAGTCTTCACCCCCTGGGACAGTCTTCAACCCCTCCTGCCTCTCTCCCCCTCGGCCAGGAAGCCGGAGCAGGGGCTCGCCCCACAGCTTAAGGGCCCCCATAAGAGGGGCGAGCTCGGGGCCAGCAGCAGGGAGAGGAACACCAGAGGTTCCTACGTTCCAGAGGGTAAAAAGGTAAAGGTAAAGGTTCCCTTGCTCGAAAGCCAGTCGAATCCGACTCTAGGGTTGCGGTGCTCATCTCCAAGGTGCACGGAACGCTGTTACCTTCCCACCGGAGTGGTAACTATTTATCTACTTGCAATTTCTTGCTTTCGAACTGCTAGGTTGGCAGGAGCTGGAACTAGAGACGGGAGCTCACTCCGTCATGCGGCACACTCGGGTCTTGAACTGCTGAACTACCAACCTTCCACAGCCTGCAGTTCAGCGTCTTAACCACTTAACCAGAGGGTACCCGAAGATAAAACCCTTAAGGGGGTCCCCGGACTCTTACCTCCCAGGCCGGCCCAAGGAACACTGACAGCCACGGGGGGTCTGGTTGGGGGGACCCGGGAAGCATCCCCAGCGACGTTGGCCTGATAGAGAAGAAGCAGGGTGGGTGCGAACAGGCGGGATTGAGGAACGAACCAATCCCATGGCCATGCTACTCAGAAGTCGGGAGGACGGGGAGGAGTCAGAAGGAGGGAGAGTTAAAAGGGGGAGGAAGCGCTGTCCAAGGAGGATGACACCTGGTGCTTATGAGGAAGGGGGGATGGTGACGTCGGGAAGAGGAGGGCCCCGATAGCTGAGAGAGAGAGAGAGAGAGAGAGAGAGAGAGAGAGAGAGAGAGAGAGAACGGAGGAATCGCCCAACCTAACCCAACCGTGGACTCGGGAATAAGCACAAGTAGGCAGAGGTCGGTGATGTAACCAACCTACCACCAGGTGTCTGAGGTGCAGCAAAGGGTGAACCGACCTCCGGTACCCTGGAACCCTCCCTCCCCACATCACGCTGACCCCAGGCGACCCTCACAGTCTTCCGCCGTAGACAGACTCCAGAGTCCAACTAGTTGACATACTGGGATATCCACCAGTGGATCTCCTTTGCAGATTTCCTGCTTAATAACTTCTCCTCTCCCCCGTTCCCTTGGTTTAGGTTTGGGCTGTAGTTCTAGGCGGGTTTTAATATTCCCGATGCAGTTTTTGTACTCTCAGTCACGCACGCATCCTTCACTGCTGTTCACTCCTCTGGGAGAAACAGGCCCGTGCGGTTGCCTTTAGGTTTATCCCACATCCCCTCTCCAAATCTGCTGGCAGGTTCTATAAGATGCTCCAAGGTGAATTCTCAGTTATTCCTGGCAGCCCAAACAGATGGGCTTTTATTTAACCTTCTGTACATCCACGTCAGCCGGAGATTGTGTTTACTAAAGAATGTTCCGTTAAAAGACTTTGTGCACGACCTTCTTTGCCCTGAAACTTAGATCCTGTGCTATCGTGAACTGGCAAACTGTATAGACTGTACCCCCCCAAAAAAAACCCTATATATTTTGAACATTCCACAGAAAGCGGACGCCTCACCTGCAGCCCCCTACCTTCCCCCGTCGCCAGAACCAAACCCTGCGGCTTCCTCAACTTCCACCGTCCGCCCCAGTCTAAGCCTCACTAATGTCAGATTGGAGGAGCCAGGCCTGGCTTCTTACAACTCTTTCCAGTCTCAAGCCGGCCCCCTCAGAACACCCATCATGGAGGCGCCTCATATAATGCTAAGAGATCCAGAGCCGCCGTCCTTGCACACAGACCCAGCAAAGGTACCTCTGCATGGGCCCGTTTTCACTATGCCACGTCGAGAGCTCGCACGCGATCATGATTTGCTTTGCCTCCCCCGTGCGACGTCCGCCCCCCCCCCCATTTCTCTGCGCATGTTTACAGCTCACAAAAAAGAATCTAACGAATAATCTAACTTCTTGTTTTGGGGTTTGCATGAGCTCTGTTAATTCTTCTGCGGGAAATCAAACGTCTGATTTAGAGCTTGCAGACTCATTTCGTTTCAAAGCTTTTATTTTATTTTGTTTTAATGAGCACGTGGCTTCTCTTTTTCTCCGGGACGTTAACGTGACTTTTGGGGAAATGTGGGATGTCCTCCAAAATCCGCCTCTGCTTTACGGCCTGCCTGTGATTAAGGGGAGATGGCTCCCAGTTGTTTAGTATGTTGGTCGCTGGAATTTGTCGGACTTTGCCGAAGGTTCTCAAACAAATCGTAAAATTCAAAAAAATAATAAAAATAAGGCAATTTCAATCTGTACTGAATGTTCGCATTTCGAGGTGGGAACGGCCAGATGTGGAAGAAGGGGAAAAACAGAAACCAGCATAACATACACTAAGAAGCATTCAATTGGCTATGGCATCCCAGATCAGTGCAACACAACATTCTTACAGCCAGGGTTCGTTTCATAGAAAAAGAGCTAGGGGAACTCATTAGCATAACTCATTAACATATGCCACACCCCCTGACATCACCGGAAGTGTGTCATAAGGCCACACACTCCGCCCCCAACGGTCCCGGCTGCCGGCGGCGGCCTTGCAGCTCCACTTCTCCTGCCTCCTCCTGGCTGAATGAGGGCCGGAAGCGGGGCAGCCGGAAGCAGGGGGCAGGGCTGTCCCCCCGTACCTCACCCGGGGGAACTGCGATCCCCCGCGATCCCCCCCCCGAAATGACCTCTGCTTGCAGCCACCAAATTGTGGTGGAGAGCCTGTAGGGTGTAGTGGTTAGAGCGTTAGACTAGGAATCTGGGAGACCCAAGTTCGAATCCCCATTCTGCCATGGAAGCTTCCTGGGTGACCGTGGGCCAGACACACACTCTCCACCTAACCTACCTCGCAGGGTCGGCGTGAGGATAACATGGAGGAGAGGATCATGCAAGCTGCTTTGCGTTCCCATTGGGGAGGAAGTCAGGGTATAAATAAAGTAAAAATTTTAAAAAGGGTGAGCTCTAGCTCAGATTTGCTATCTTGACTCACTCAAGGAAAGTGAGAAGCGTCCTTTCAGTAGGGTCTACCTCCTACAGTGAGAACCGTGGTTCTAGATGATTGCCTCTTTCATGGATTGATTTTAAATTTATCAGCATACTGAATTCCCAAAAATAATGACCTGTGCCGTCCGGTTGTTTTATTATTCATTTAGAGAGGAAGTGAAATGCCGGTTTTTAAAAAACGTCCTGCCACATTTTAGCCGTTAAGGTCCCCGGCTATTCAGGTGCCTGAAGCAAACTCTTGTGGTTTCCCTGCAGATGTACAGGAAGGACCCCTACATCAACGAGGAGCCGTACCTCAACGAGGAACCACCCCGGCAGAACTACGTCTTGAAACCTCCAGCACACGGTCACGCGACGCAACGGCAGGACAAGGAATCCAGTCTGGCCTATGAGCCGCAAGGCCAGTACCCGGACAAACAGCCCAGCAGAGATTACGAGCCCTTGGCGTACAGGTATGAGTCCACGAACTACGTAGACCAGTTCCCTCGCGGCTACGACCCTCGTCTTCACTACGAGGAGCGCGTACCCCCCTACGACGACCACTGGGCGTACTACGACGAAAAGCAGTCCTACCAGCCCAGGCCACCGTACGACAGCCAGCCGTCCAGAGACTTCGATCCCCGGCAAAACTCAGAAGACAGCACAGACCGCAGATCCTATTTCCCAGCACAACCTCGCTTCGAAGAGCCGCCTTCCGCGGCCGCTTACGACAACAGGCCTCGCTACGAGCACGCCTCCAAAAATTTCGGCCTCCCGCAGCTGAGATACGAGGAGCAGTCCGCCGCCGGGTACGAGGCTCACGGAAGATACAAAGCGGAGACGCCCACCTACGCCTCCACTGTGCCCAGGTCTCCCGAACCGAAGCATTACTTCGAGCCGCAGCCCAGAGGCTACGAGCCGGCCCTGCCACAAGGGTTCACTGCTAAAGTCGGACAGTACGAGCCTTCCCACAACCCCTCCGGGGCACCTCCTCCCCTTCCGCCGCAAAGCAAACCAGAAGTTCTGCCTTCCAACAGTAAACCACTGCCTACGCAACCAGCGGAAGAAGAAGACGACCCGGCAATGAAGCCGCAGTCTGTCCTCACGAGGGTCAAGATGTTCGAAAACAAAAGGTCGTCGTCGCTGGAGAAAATAAAGGACTCAAATGATGCCCCGGTGGTCAAGGTAGAGAAACCGCTTCTTGGTCACTGCGCGGGATGACCCCTTGAGCTGCCTGATGTTGTCTCGAATTCTTACAGGCATAGTGAATAGACAGGATATACTGGGCTACCCCTCAGTTGCGCCCTCTCAGCTGTGGAGTCTTGTGAGCAAAAATCCTACTTTGTGAGCTGCTGGCATTAAAGTTGTGAGCGAGCGATTTGGCTGCTGCATGAATTAGTTTGCTCTGAAGCCCTCCTCCCTGAGCGGAGACAACAATGTGTGAGCTGGAGGCTAAAGAACTGTGAGCTAGCTCACACTAGCGCAGCTTAGAGGGAACACTGGTACCCATGTTACCAGTTAGATTTATTTATTTATTTATTCATTCATTCGCTTTACTATCCCGCCCTAACCCCTAAGGGTCTCTGGGCGGCTTACAGAGGGTGCTAGTCACATTTACAGAATCCAACCTAGGGCCACAGACATATAGGGGTGGTGACTACCCTATCAGGCACCCTTTTTCCGGCGGATCTTCTTCGGTTGTTGTCCTGTTCTTTTTTTGCGGGAGGTAGTCGGCGGCGTCCCTTCTGGTGCTGGTCTTTTGAGGTTCCCTTCTTCCGGCTGTAGCGATTCCATTTCCGGCCAGGACCACTCGCACTTCCGCGCACGCTCCGCTGCGGCCTCTGTCCCGATGAGGCTCCGGCCTGCTGCGTTGATCTAGACTTTGCGGTGCTGTCTTTCTGAAACATTACCTAAGGCCCTGACTCGGACGGCCCAGGCCAACTGTATCCCTTCGGATCTTGGAAGCGAAGTAGGGTTGGATGGGAGACCACCAAGGAAGTCCAGGGCTCTGCTACACAGAGGCAGGCGATGGCAAACCGCCTCTGGTTGTCCCTTGCCTCGAAAGCCCGATGGGGTCACCATAGTTCAGCTGTGACTTAGTGGCCCTTTCCCCCCGGGGCTCTTTTTGTAGCAGGAGCTCCTTTGCATATTAGGCGACACACCCCCTAATGTAGCCAATCCTGCAAGAGCTTACAGTAGCCTCTGTAAGCTCTTGGAGGATTGGCTACATTAGGGGGGGGGTGTCGCCTAATATGCAAAAGGAGCCCTGCGTACCACTCCTGAACTGCTCTTGCCGTTAAAACTTCCCCTGTTGTTCAGATCACCTTCAAGGTGTTCAAGCAGAGGCTGGGTGATTACTGGACGCTTTAGGTCATCTTTTGTGGGTACCCGGGGGGTTGGACTGGACGGTCTGTAGGCCCAACTTTAGAATTCTGTGGCTGTTACATATTCTCCTAAGGCTTTAAGGATGAACCTTTTGGAGGATGAAGGACAGAACCTCAGAATGGGGGCTATTGGTGTAATTTGAATCAGCAAATGGTGCCGCGAGTATTCAGAGGCAATCTTCCTGCACTGGAGACCTGATACGGTGCAGGCATCTCGCATGTGGGCCAAACCTCCCTGTATTCAAACCTTAGCTAATCCGTGAACACTGTTCCCTCTAAGCTGAGCTAGTGTGAGCTAGCTCACAGTTTTTAGCCTCCGGCTCACACATTTTTTGTCTCAGCTCAGGGAGGAGGACTTCAAAGCGAACTAATTCATGCAGCAGCCAAATCGCTCGCTCACAACTTTAATGCCAGCAGCTCGCAAAGGAGGATTTTTGCTCACAAGACTCCACTGCTTAGAGGGAGCATTGCCCATGAATACAACGAGGGTGGTAATGCTGGCCTGGATTACGGTATTGTTCTGAGGATAATATGTGTGAAGTCCTTAAAATGCTGTAGAAATACTGGAAATAGTTCAGTGAACGTTCAGCCCTTCTGCCAAGCTCATTTCAGTGGGGAGAGTTAAGCACTAGGTTGAAACTTATCTCCCAGTAAGATGCTTAATTCTGCCTGGGCTGAGTTCCCAGCTGCATGGATCCACCTGGAGGATGCTGATATCCAGGCCTGTAGCCATGATTTTGTGACTTGTGGGGCAATTTTTTTTTCTGGTGGGGCTGAAGTTCTCAGTGCAGAAAGAAAAGCCAGACTTCTTTATATCCCTAAATTGCAGTAGTTCTGATAGCAAGATACAGGAAAGAATGTATACAGTTCTCAACTGCTGCAGGTTAATCGCTTCTGCAAGCCTAAGCAACCATTCTGGTAACAAGTCGGCAAGTGGGGGTGATCAAGAAAGCTAACACGTAGGCAGAAAAC